CATCACCATCATATAGCTTGGAGTAGGCATATCCTAAAAACTTGAACTTAATGCAGGGATCAAGAACGGCAGCACAAGACAGAAATATGCTATAGTCAGACCAATATTTCATGAATTTCTCCCTCATAACTGCTAACATTGGAGCCATGTAACTATTTACTCCAGCACTAGCCTCTATAATAGCAGAATGAACAAGATAGACATTCATGAAGTACAAGTTGGCTGTTGGATACTTTGTTCTGAGAAAGTTGTAATTACCTCGAAAAAACCCTTCAAGAACTGATACATATGAGATACCTTGGCCCACTCTTCTTTGGATAGCCAAGAGTTGACCTTGAATATGCTGTCCCTCTCAGAATACCAATGCAGCACATCTCTAAAGTACAAACAGCACCCAAGCATAGTGTATGTTGAATTCCAACGGATGGGCATATCAGGTTTCAACCTTTTTGTTTCTTCCAGGTTGAAAATAGTTGTAGCAGTACTATAAAACTTATGCAGCCTATTGCTTGAAGCCTTTAGGTACATTATACCATCTCTAAGTTTGTCAACACACTTATCAATCAATGCCAAACCGGCTTGAACTACCAAGTTTAGTATGTGTGCATAACAACGAATTTGGAAGAATTTACCGGACAAAGGTAAAGCACCTTTTGCCAAGTGGGTACGCAAGCAAGCTATCATCCTATCATTATAGGCTGCATTATCCAGAGTGATGCACATCACTTTCTTATCAACCCTCCATTCACGGAAAGCTAGGTGGACCTCATCGGCAATAGATGCTCCATCATATGGTGGATCTATTTTTTTGAACCATACAATCCTTTTGTTTAGTTTCCAATCAGCATCTATGTAATGACAAGTAATGCAAATATAGCTATGCTTGGTGACTTCAGATTTCCAATTGTCGGATGTGAAACTAACTCTACCAGGGGCAGCAAGAATTATGTCCATCAGTTCCTTTTTCTGGCTAAGAAACATTGCCATTATCTCTCTTTTTATTGTGTGCCGACCAATAGACTTGAATTGTGGACAACAAGCAGACATCATTGTTCTAAATCCATCTTCTTCAACTGTTGTAAATGGATGAGCACCGGATACAAGATAAATAGAGACCGAAATTCTAGCAACTTGAGCATCAAATCTACCATTTTTTAATGCAGCTATTCCATCATCATTTGTTTCAGATTTCAAGAAAAAATTATTCATTGTCGCGTGTTCAACCTTATACTTCTTTTCAGTGTGTCTAAGGAGATGAGATGTACCATTTGTCGATCTAGCCGACAGTTCTTTCTCACAATGGTTACATCTAGCTATCGTCATTTTATCACCATCTTTCGAGATCTTGGTGAAGTCAAGCCATACCTTTGACTTCAGTTTGGAAATAGTAGGTTGCGGCTGCGGCTGCGACTGCGGCTGCGCCCCTCCGGTAGTAGGATGTGCATGTTCTGTTGCGGCTCCACTTCCTTGAGCGGCTGGCTGCTTTCCCCTTACACGTTTCTGCCGAGTGCGAGGAGGATCCGCAGGTACAATAAACAATTGCATCCCATCGTCCTGCTCTTCTAATTCTTCGGGATGGTACTCTGGTTCATCACCCTCCGGTCCTTCTAGTCCTCCTGAATTCATCATGATCAAACTGTAGCATGTACACAGCAGTACAACAAAACACGTTATTCGTCATGATCAAACTGTAGCATGTACATAGCAGTACAACAGTACAACACCATATAAACAGCACAAATGTTCATCTCCAGTTCTGCACCATATAAACAGCATAAATTTTGCATGGATTTGATCCTGACCATTCTTCACAAGCAGTACGTCTACAACATTAAGCTATGCTTTAACATTCAGCTAACCCTAAAACAAAAAGAGCACAACTTTATCAACAGCAAAACGTATACCTTGGGGTGGGGGCTTGGAGTTGCAGGCTTGCTGGTTGCAGCCGACGGGGAGGAAGATATTTGCTGCGGCCGGCGGTTGTTGATGCGACGGTCGAGGACGGAGCAGGGTGGCTGCAGTTGAGGACGGAGTAGCGCGGCCGCAGTTGAGGACAGTGCAGCGCGGCCACGGTCCAGGACGACGTGCGCCGGCCGTAGTTGAGGACGGACCAGGGCGGCCGCGGTCGAGGACGAAGCGTGGCGGCCAAGGTCGAGGATGAAGGGGGCCGGCCGCGGTCGAGGACGAAGGGGGCCGGGCGTCGTCTGATGCGGGCGCGCTAGGGTTCTGTCGGCGCCGCCATGTCGCGCACGAGGAGATATGGGGACGGGGCATGGGATTTGGCAGTTAGGGTAAGCGAGGAGTAGGGAGGGGGCGAGATGCAGAGTCGGGGGGCTGAGGCGCTGGGCGGCTGGGCCGCTCTTGGGCTCTACTGCGGCCAGGCTGGGTGAGTTCAGATTGGGAGCTGCTCGGGCCGGGCCGGGCCTAATTTCGGGCTACATATTGAGGCCCGAGCCCGGCCCGACTTGCTGTTCGGGCTGCATATTAAGGCCCAGGCCCGGCCCAGGGTACCAGTCAGGCCTGGCCCGGCCCGGGAATTTCAGGCCGGGTCGGGTCGGGCCGTTCGGGCCGGGTTTCCCATGGCCAGGTATAGATGGGAGACATGAGCATTCTAAGGAACTGTGATTGAGCTCGGGAGTACATATCTAGTGGAAAAGCCATACATTCAATGAAAACATAGGAACCTGATCTTGTGTTTGTTAGAAATTTAGGGTTTGTGGTCTATCCCCTATTCCTCTGCGCTTATCCGTGGTGCCGCTCACAATTCGCATATATGAGGCTAGGGGGTAGGGACCTTCTTATACTGTCTTTCCAAAGAGTCCATCTCTTATACAGATAAGATTCCTAGTCGTTACAACTAGTTTTCGGGATAGAGTCCAGATCAAATTACCAACCACGATCATATTTGTCTGTTAACGGATTCTACCCGTTATGTCCCCGGAGCACGCGCTTGTGAGCAACGCGCCATAATAGAGTGTAAATTCATGTAATTACGCAGATCAACGTTAGGGCTGTAATCTAACTATACGATCTAGCTCCTTCCAATCATCAGTGTACCCAGGTAGTCTTTACGATATAAATAGTATTACCGTATTCCACTAATAGTTGACCAGGATCCTTAAGCATATAATACTTAAGTACATTCCAACAAGTGATAATTCCATGATAATCATGTAAAGTAATTCCATGCGTAAATACATGTATAATTCCATAATGAGGTATTCCGAATATTGACAATTCCAAGTAATTTGAATATAGCTGCAGGACACATAATTTCAACATCTCCCACTTGTCCAAAACGATCATTCAAATATTCGTAAACCCATAGACTTAACATGCTTGCCAAATACCACCTGACTAAGAGGCTTAGTCAAGGGACCAGCAATCATATTTACACTATGTTGAAAACGCACAAAAATACACGGTGATACTTCCCTTCAATATGTTTTCTTGTTGTGACACCTAAGATCACTAGAGACCTTTAGTTTCTACCTAATAATTCCAGCATAGCTGTCCTCGGTGCCTCGAGTATTATTTCCTCGAGTGTAATTTCACCTTTATAGGCACCTTGAGTATTTTGTTTCCTCAAGTGAAATTCCGCATCAATTATTTTCCATCACATAATATAATTAATTCCACATCGAGTCAAGTATAAGATAACCATGTTGAATAAATTTTCAAAACCACATAAATATCAAATCCAATCAGTAAATGAAGTTCTATAATTAACCATGTGTTGAAAGAAATTCCTGACTTCGGTCAGTGAACCTGCACCATATTAGTACTAAAAATAGTAATTGAATATGCGTACCTGGACTTATTTCTCATCTCGTAGATACAATAATAACTTCCTCAATGTGTTTACCTTTAATATAAATTTCAGAACAAGTGACAGGATGTGATGCACTTCCACAATCTTATATGATGTGTGAGATTTCCTTAGCTGCTCGTCTTTCCTTCCACTGCTTGAATGCATCATAAATTCCGAAAGCTAAGGTATGATTTTATAACAAAGATACAATAAATTGAAACACCATTATTATCCCTTTTGTTCTCAGGAGTTCAAACATAATTCCTCACCGAGTTTGGTTCCAGGTACTTTAATAAGTTTGCAATTTTCCATAGGAATCATTTTAAAACACCTATGTAGTTCCACTCCTAAAACATAGGAAGAGCTTCAAACGTTCCTTTCATATGAAAGTTAAAACATGACCAAGCTTTCACTTCTATCAATGTGACTTTATCATTGCAAAAAAAATTGTTAACGTATACAATAATAATGCAAAATATTTTACACTTACATTCGTAGATGACCACCTTGCTTCATTTAGAAAACCATATGACCTACTATTTCATTGATGTGAAGCTTGTTATAAGACAATACATTAATATACTCAATTAGCAAACCATGTCTTTAGTTCCTCTTCCTATATTCCAGGAGAGAGAGTTTCCACAAAGTATATTTTCCTTTGTGCAAAGAACCGAATAGCAAGAGTGACATTATAATATTCTAATGAGACAAATTTCCTCACAAATAAATAAAAACACTTACAAACAATGGGCTTGCGGTTGTTTGGTATGATAATAAGTTCCCAAATTATATAATTCCTCATTGAGCTTATTTCTTCCCGCATTTCTTCCACCCATAGTTCACAGTGATGAAAGATTCAAGCCTTCTTAGGAGTCTTCCTCTAATAGAGCGACTTTCCCCAAAAATCACATAACAATTATCCAGAGATTACATTCCAAGTTAATTCCTCCCACTTATCCTAAGCATGTCATAATAACATATTGTACTTATCTCACTTATCCTAAGCATGTCAGAAAAAATGTCAACAGAGTACTATCTGACGGGGTATATTATATATTCTAATTAATAAGAACATATTGTACTTGCCTTGTATGCTCTGGTATGTACTTACAATGGATTTGATTGCTGTGAAAAAGATGTAGCCACAGTTAAGCCTACTCATCTAGCCATGCATCCATCTTATTCTTACCTACTGTTTCAGTATGCCAACAGGGGCAGCAGGGGGTATTGTACTCGTACTCGTATCTGAATTGGTGTTGGTGTTGGTGTTGGTCACCCCACCATCTGAAGCGAAAACGCCTGCAAACCTCAGTGGCTGCTGCATCTGGACCCGGGAGCTACTGCTGGCATCTTCTTCTTGGTCGTCGCCGTCTCCGGGTCGGCGGCGAGACACCATCCTGTGCTGCACAATGTCGTAGGCGTCGGCGGTCCTGACCTCCTGGGCGAGGGAGCAGGGGCAGCAGAAGAGCCACTGGAAGCAGTCCGTCACGTCCGGCCTGCCGCAACAGAACCCACTGCCGGGGAGCCCAAACCTCCGGCGCATCTGGATCCTCCAGAACCCGCCGTACAGCAGGCCAAGGACGCAGAGCAGGGTGCCGCCAAGGCTGAGCGCCAGCCTGGCCGCCTCGTTGTCGATGTTGATGGCCGCCAGGGTGAAGATGAAGAAGGGCGCCAGGCACAGCAGGATGAAGGTCGCCGCGTGCACGTACGCGTTGCCGAACCCCAGACGCCCCGCGTTCCACCCGAACACGCAGCAGCTGCAGAACAGGGACAGGTACGCCAGCGAGATGTCCTCCCACAGGTCCGCCACCAGCCCGCCGGACCACTCCGGCGATAACATACCATCTTCTTCCGCGACAACAGCGGCCATTTCTAGTCCTTGTCGCTGCGGCGGAGAGGGGGAGAAGGAGTACCTCCTCTCGACGGTCTTGTGCTGGAGCCGCTGCCGCGAGCCCGAAGAAGAAGACTCCTGCTCCTCGTCGTCGGCGGCCTGGACCTCGTAGTCTTTGCCCAGGGGGCTGAGGTTGTTGTACATGCTGGCGACGGCGGGCGCGCAGATGGCGACTGACACGGTGAGGCCGACGCCCACGGGAGGCCGGCGGGTCCTGGAGAGCCCAAGGTTGAGGCCGCAGAGCGCGTACTGCGCCAAGCAGTTGAGGTGGAGCAGCAGGATCACAACCATCATGTGCCTCCTCTCGTTGGGCTTGACGGTGCCGCCCTTGCAGTAGACCTCCCGGAGCGCGGCCATGTCGCCGGCCCGCCACCGGCACAGCAGCGCCAGGTGGTAGAACCTTCTGGGATGGTTGTAGAGGCACATGAGGGTGAACAATGCATTCAATATCTGGTTGTTGACCTCGAACCACGTGTCCTTGTGCGACTTGGTCCGCAGGACGGCGTTGAGCATCCCGGTCATCACCATGAAGAGGATGGCGCCAGAGACGCCGACGGCGACGATCCACACGAAGAGGGCCATGTTCATGGGGTTCTTGATCCACTCCTTGGACTTATCCCACAGTGGTCCCCACTTGATCTTCCTCACGAACGGCACCGCTGCCGCCAAGCGTCGCCTTGTTCTGGACTGTCTTCTTCGTGGTGGGCGGGAAGAGTGTTCATGCTGCTGCTGCTGCTGCTGCTGCGAAGAAGAAGAAGAAGAAGAAGAAGAAGAAGGGGAGCCATTGTTGGTGTTGTAGTGTCTTTGGTCAGCAGCAGCGCCGAGCATGTGGTCCGTGGAGTAGCAGGGCGGCGAGCTTGGTGTTTGCAGTTGGTGCTGAAAGGAGTAATCCTCCTGGCCATTGGTCTTGTCACCCAGGACTTGTCTTTGAGTTTGTTGGGGTGAGTCGATGAAATAGATGGCTATGTGATGATCATTTTTTGCATCTGTGTTTGCAGGCTCCTCTTGGTGCATTATGTCAGCAGCAGGCCTCTTGTGAGTGCCACCACCTGCAACCATGTTTCGACAGACGGACGGGCAGACTTGGAGGATATATATGAAATAACAGGTGCCGTGTGATGCTCTGTTTGCAGTATCGCAACTGAAGATAACTTTTTTCACCCTCTGATTGAACCAGTAAGTATAATGTTGCTTCTTTTTCGTAGAGCTAGATGTTCAGATAAGGACTGGACGAAGCCAAAAAGATGCTGATAAATAATCCACTTGCAGTAGCTAGGGTGCTTGATCTTCCCATTTGGTTAGGATTTGCTGCACACAAATTAAAGAGAAAGGTTTTGAAATTGCCACCACTAAGTAATACCAATAATGTTGGATGGTGCAAGTAGAAAGCAACAATCTAATATATCGTCGTAGAAAAAGTAAGTCCAGGCATCTAGTTGCACAAGGATATGCCCCTTTTAATTTGTACAAGAGTCTGAATGAAAGAAGAATGGGACTATATGATTGAAAGTTAAATCGGAAAGAAAAAAGAAGTTGAGTTTTAGCTTGTTGCAGATAGCCCAGGTCTAGCTTATACTAGTATATATTCTTAAAAGAAAAAAAAAGAGGAAAGGAAAAGGCCCCTTGTTTAGAATGAATTGCATATGATGGATCGATCGATATTAAGTAGAGGGGGAAATCGCTCATATATGCATCAATCAAGCAATCAATCAAAGCAGTCAGTACATACTAGTGTAGCAAGTTTCCAAAGGAAGCTAGAGGAAATTAATTAAAAGGCAGCAGATGTGAATCAAATCAATCATTTAGACGATGGTACATACATACCTTGTTAGCTAGCCCTCCTAGGAGGCCTACTACTAATCGTACGTGCGTGCGGCGGCTAACTCAGAGTCCGAGAGACGGACAGATGGTTGGATTGCCCTCTCCTCTTTTGATTGTCTTTTTCTTTTTCTTTTGGTTGTGAGAGAGAGAGAGAGAGAGAGAGAGAGATGACAAGTGAGGAGGAGGATGGATGGAGTTGAATTCTTGCTAGATAGGATTAAGAGATGGAGAGATTTGATTTGATTGAGGAGAAGCTTCAAGATAGTGCAGAGGAAGAAAGTAAAGCAGCAGCTCAAGAGAACCAACCGATGAGGAGCCAACTGATGAATGGAACAAGAAGAAGAAGAAGCAGAAGAAACAAAGATTGGGCCGGCGGATATTTTGTTGATTTGGCCTCTCGCCGCCACCAGGCACGCACGCACAACACAAGAGTATTAGTAAATTCTATAACATTTTGATTTCAATATTATTATACAAGAGATCGATACAAGGAACAAGAAAGAAAGAAAGAAAAGTCTCTGAGTTGTACAAGAGATCGATACAAGGAACAAGTAAGAAAGAAAGAAAAGTAGTAAGTTGTCTTCGTCAAGTGCCTGCTAAGGTCACACAAAACCAAATCAAAGAAAAAGAAAGGTCCATTCGTCCCTCCAGAGAGTTGGTCTAGAAAATTCAACCAACTAAAACCCGCCTTCCTTCCTTCCTTCACATGATTGACTTCTCTTTCCCTCCTGTATGTATGTATTGAATTCATGCTCCAGCTAATTGCTTCAAAAGTCCCAACTGATGGAGAGAGGCGGACAATATATCTCAACAGCATGGATGTTTGATTTCAGATTCAGATAGATAGATACTCCTCTTGTACTGTATGAATTCCATCCATCTTCATACCTTGCTTGCTTGGTTTGCTTGTTCAACAACTCTGACTATTGTATCTGCATGTATGTATGTATGTACTGAAAGAAAAAGAAAATCAAAGCTTCAAGTGCAAGGCAGCTGCACCTTGTTTATTCGTTTGTTTTCACCCCGTCAGTGATAGGCTGCTTGGTCTGTAGCAGTATATTCCAATCCAAATTTATCTTTCAGAATTATTCCTATTTTCACCACATATATATGCATCAACATTTCCTAGTCTTCCGGTGTGCACCAAGATCCGTGCGTGCTAATAGGTGTCTCACTTGGCCGAGGCATGAAAAACCTATTCACACCATCCCGATAAAATATCACTCGGGTTTATAAATCACATGACTACATATTTTTCTCTTACCTCTCATGTGAAAAGAGGGGGTAAGAGGGAGCATGTTAAAACTGCTCCTTTTATAATCTATCTGTTATTACACCTGTGCGGACTTTGGACAAGTGGTGTATGTGCTGATAAAAAAAACAAGGAATGAACATAAGTTTGCTTGAACCACAGAGTTTCTCTGTCTCCCAAATGGGAAGATCACAAGTTAAAGAGAAAAAAGAAGATTGGGACTATATGATTGAAAGTTCATTCATACATCACAAGTACAAAATCGTAAGCAATGCACCACCAATCAATCAATGGCTAATTTGTTTCCTTGTCAAATGCATACACCATATATTATACCTTAATAAGTGAAAGGAAAATAAATTGATTTATAACATCATCATCATTTCCCTATACAAATATATCACGCTTGTGCCTCAAGAACAAGCACTAATCCCAAGTAGGGTGCATCTCTGTCCCGAGTGAATAATGTCATGATGTTCGCAAGAGAAATCCGCTAGAAGAGTGCCAAGGTTGATGTCACACTTCAACCTCCAGTTTATCTCATCACACACGTCGTCGAGGTTGAGGTGCCAGATCCCAAGTTCAAGGCCATCACAAGGACTAAATAGCGCACAATATACGCCATTCTCTGATTTCCCTAAATAATGGTCTCCGATATACCTTGCACGAAAACCTTTTGGCAGCTTAATTACTTGATACGTGTCATTTGACATGTTTATCCTGCAAAAGATAAACCAGCCACCGTCAAAGCTAGACAAACAAAGGGCTAGCTACATCGAAATGTAACTAAATATTTAGGGATGCGAGTACCTCAGGATGAAATCATGCCGATGAACATAGAGTGTCCCCCGCCAGTACGCACTATAACATTGTGAGGATGGAAAATTGTCTAGCATATGGCCAACAGTCCCCGCAGGCCGCAGCCTCCCCTTGGCGAATAAAAGGCCTCTCCTCCCACCGCTTTGTCCTCGTCGAAAAGGCAGCCTCCCCTTGGCGAATAAAAGGCCTCTCCTCCCACCGCTTTGTCCTCGACGAAAAGACAAGCAAGACAAACGTCTATCTACTATGTGATCATCCATGCATGTAATCAGGCCACAGAAATGGAAGGTGCTTAACTAGAAAGACCTCGTAGTGTGGTGACACGGCAGGATCAAACGCAAGATGCTGGTCATGGCAGTGCATGAATTCTCCATGAGTGAAGACGTCCTCCATGCCCGGCGTGCACATGGAGGGGGGAGGGGGCAGGCGCGTCCACCGTCGCGTCGCGTGGTTAACCACCCACGCCTTCTCCTCGATAGGCCCTCAGCGACGCGGCCATTTGTTGTTGAGCAGGAGGAGGCCATTGCAGTGCTGGTTGATCGTGGAGCACTCGGCATCCACGTAGTCGAAGGCCGCCTCGGCGACGTTGGTGGAGGGCGAGAAGTATTGTGTGAGCAGTTCACACCCACGCATGTCGCCGCTGATATGGACGAATATTCCGCTGAGCGAGCGCGGCAGGAGGTCCACGAGCAACCGGCGGGTGTCGATGATGTCACGCCATGCTTTGCAAACACACCGGGACACGGCGAGGCTGGGCGGCGACATGGTCTGGAGGCGGCGCAGCACGTCAGCGAGCAGGTCGGCGGGTAGGCGCTGCGTGAGGTCCTCCGTGGACGACGGCGTCTCCAGCGACTGTGCCATGGTCGCTTTTTTGCTAGTACACAAGTTTGTTTGTGCTGTTCGATCTAGAACCGTTCGATTATATATTTATAAATAGTAGGGAGAGTCGGAGATACGTACGTACGTACGTGTTGGAATCCGATTGGACCCCGTCGGAGGAGCAAGTAGTTAGTTGAGCCGGTCCCAATCTTTCCCCAAGACCAAGTGGATGAACCAAATCGGGGTCCAAGTCCAACGCGTATGTAATGTACTCCCTCTGTAAACTAATATAAAAGCGTTTAGACTACGTACCATCAGGAAGACGGACGAGATGCACAAGGCCACGATCAGGTTACGTTGCAGTTCATTCTAAAGGGGTCATTCGGTGGATCAAACCTTTTGTTGTTTGACGGGTTGGACAGTCAAATCAAACTCGTTATTCTTTTCTTCGGTGGCTATTGTGATAGTGTCTGAGGCAGGTGACGGACGGACGTTGGTGTCAAGCTCAGATATGTTCTATTATTTTTTTAATTTTGTCATGTCGGTTTTTACGTGGCTTGTATTTTTTTTTATATGAATGAGATACATATTACCATGAAAAAAAATCAAACTAGTACTTGGATCGACCGACGGAGGTATGCCGGCCGCTGACTCTCTCCATCGTATTCACGCGTTTGCCAATTGGGCTGGACTGGACTGCAGTCAGTACGTATGGCCTGTAAGGCCCATGCCAAACCTGATAGAAGATAAGAAAGGGATTCGGCCTCTACAATTTCCGACTAACCCGGCGTGCTCCTACTGATTTCCGTATCCTAGCCCAAACAAACTAATTTCCGTCCCTGTAAACATTGTGACGAATTAATAAAACCTAGTGACGTTGCCTAAAAAAACTAATTTCCAAAAAAAATTGCGTAGACAAAACTAATTTCCATATCCAAATATATCCTCCTCTTCAGCCATAAATATACGCCGTCATTTATTACCGTATATTGAATACCAAAATATATCCTCCTCTTCATCTATAAATACACGCCATTATTTATTTCCGTATATACAAACACTAAAAGATATCCTCATCTCCAGCAATAAGTGCAGGTCGTTATTTACTTCCATGTATAGTATACAAATACTACTAAAAGATATCCTCATCTCCAGCTATAAATGCACGTCGTTATTTATTTCCATGTAGAGAATACCAAACAATATCCTCCTCTTCATCAGCTACAAATACACACACGAAACCTTCTCACCGAACACATTCTCAATCGCAAACAAATTTTCAGAAGCCACAAGAACTCAAGATGAGAATTCCATTCTTGATCCTCACCATCCTTGTTCTCTCTCTCCAGTGCAAGGCTTCCGTTGCCTCCCCGCTTGTAAGAGATAAGGAGACCAACATCCTCTTCTACTTCCACAACATCCATGCCGATAAGGATTCCTCCTCGGTCCTTGTTGCACAAAACGCCAATGCCACGGCCCATGCTCGTGGTATCGTGGCCTTTAGCTCTGTCTACGTGTTTGACAATGTGATCACTGAGGGGCCCTCGATCACGTCTAAGGTGCTTGGGAATGCACAGGGCATGTACGTCGGCACAGCAAAAGATGGGTACACGATTTTGATGGCCATCGATGTTGAGATCACAACTGGCCCATTCAATGGCAGCTCGTTTGTATTGTTCTCGAGAAACCCGTTGAGATCAACCAGGGAGCTCCCCGTCATCGGAGGTCGTGGTGTGTTCCGAATGGCCGAAGGGTACGGCATGCTCCGAACGGTGTGCGTTCACTGTCTCAACTCTGTGAACCCTGCCAGTGGAGATGTCATAGAGTACAACGTGACTCTCTGGCACCATTAAATGAGTTTATGTATTTTGGGTCCTTATGATGATCCCTAATATAATGGATGGTTGAGTTTTCTAGTTATTGACTTGTTGCGCTTTATAAAATTACCACATAAAACTCCCTCAACTTATGTACTCAAATGATTTCATTCAATATTATTAGGATCAGATGATTTTTAGCTAGCTGGAAACTTAAGAGATGGTTATTTGCTCTTACACTGCATTTTTCTTTTCTTTTTTGAGAGAGAGAGAGTAGGAATCGGGAACAAAATGTCTCATCATGTGCATACACATATATAGGGGACAGAAACTCCATCTATAAATCAATCAATCGCATCAAAGAAGAAGAAACATATGCTACTCCAGGCTAGGCACTCACAACCATTGAAGTAGAAGGATCATGAGCATGAAGATCAACATGCATGGGTCGTCGTGTGGGAGCGTACGTCAGCGCAGATGGACATGGACAGCGTCATCAAACCTAGCTATCTAGGAAGACGAGTGCCGTGCACCGGCCGCGGTCGCTCGCTCTGGCTCTGGCTCTGGATCCACCACCACCACCACGACGGCGACGACGACTTTGGCCTGTCCATTGGGGCGGTCGACTTTGGCCCGTCCGTCGGTCCGTCGTCGGCCCCGTTCCGTGACGATTATTGTGGTGAGGAGGGTGAAGAGGATGCAGGGGCCGGCGACGCACATGATCCTCATGGCCAAGTCCAACATCGGAGGGTCGGGGCCCGGCAGCCAGATGGACAAGACCGCCATCGGCAGCGTCACCAGACCCAGGAAGACGATCCCCATGCACCGTTCGCAGTCGTCTGCCTCCCTAAGGCCAAGGCCGCCACTCTCGATGCCGCCGCCGGCCATCGCTCTGGATCCGATCGTGCCTGTGCGTGCGTCAATTGGACTGTGCCGCAAGCAAGCAACTCGTACCTAGTACGGAACCAAGGCTGACAATAAGGCCCTCTTTGATTCGCAGGAATTTCAAATCGTAGGAATAGAAAAAGTATAGGGTTAGAGTGGCATGCACACATGAATCCTATAGAATTAGCATGGAGTGTTTGATGGCACAGAAAAAGCAAAGGAATTGTAAAATAAGATTGGAGTGGATGTTAGATTTCCTATGAAATGTAGTACAAAAGATTCCATAGGAAAAATTCCTATGGGATCCAATCCTATGAATCAAAGGACCAACATAGGAAAAATTCTTAAGGATTTCAATTCTCCAAAAATCCTATAGAATTCCTTTGAATCAAAGGAGCCCTAAAGGGACTTTGATTCATTTATTTTTGAGGGAGGAAAGTATGGTTTTCCCCCTCAAATCATGTCTGATGGACCGATTTCCCCCCACAGTCTAAAATCGGATCAATCAACCCCTAAACTCTCCAAAACCGGATCAATTCTCCCCCATGGTGGTTTTGGACCAGATTTCGGTGGTTTTGACTAGTCTCCTTGCTGACTGGACATATGCAACTTTTCCCAATTCTTAATTGCAATCCCTAGGTCTGTCACCGCCCCCTCGCCGCGTAGCACTGTGTCGCCGTCCCCCTCGCCGCCGTCCATGGCGTCTGCTAGCTCGTCAAGTAGTCATCGGTCGCCGCAATCAATGTCCTTCTCAGGGCAGTCGCCGGTGCCATATCGGGAGCCACCGATGGCGTACTCGCCTGAGAAGTTGTGCCACTGCAACATCAAGGCTCCGAGGTGGATTTCGTGGAGCATTGCCAACCCCAGTCATCGATACTACAACTGCAGCCAGTCTCTAGTACCCGTCGATCTGTGCCCGCAAATGGCGTCAAATGGCGTCTCTTTTTTTATAGGAATTGAGATGCGTGTCATCTCACTTTCCATGTTTTTCTATTCCTATAAAATTTCTATCCTATGAACCAAAGGAGGCCTAACAGAATTTGCAGAAGCGAGTTATGTTTTCATGTTAATTTATGTAACACATCTTATTTATGAACCAAGTTTAAATGTCTACTCTTTCATGTATTTGTCATCATTTTAAAATATTCTGTTATGCTTGATCTCTACCACCGTTATCACTTGAGATCACAACATTTGTTCCATTACAACGCACGAGCAACTTGCTAGTCTTGTTAGTTTTGCTCCATGGCGCAATTCATCGATACTACTACTGTACAAAAGCATACATTTTTTAAAAGGCTAGAGGGCGGGGCAGTCTTGCTTGGTCGGCTTCACGAGAGGCGAGGACCTTTGTGATTTACTTTCAAAAAAAAGACCTTTGTGATTTGACGGCCGACGGCTCATTACTGCTGAAAGGCGGGGCCTTGTGATTTGACGACCCATTACTGTTGTAAGCGACTAACCTCCCTCTAGATATTGTGCCAGATATATTGCACTCCATCTAAGTGGGCTGCGGCCCAATATCTCACCTCCCACTGGTTTTAGGCTGGGTTTTTTTGGGCGTTCTTTTGTTCACTGGTGTTTTTTTTGTCCGGTTTTGGTGGTTTTTGGTGTTTTTTCCTTCTTATTTTTGGTTTTTCTTTCTTTTTTATTATTTTCATTTCCTTTTTGTTTTCAGTTTACATGAATGAAATGTTCTCATTTTCGTGAATTTTTTTAATCCATGGAATTAGTTAAAAAAATCAACTTTGTTAAAGTTTTTCAAATCCACAGAATTAGTGAATTTTTCTCAAATTCTTTTCAAATCCATGAACAATTTTCAAATCCACAAAATCTATGAACTTTTTTAAGCCCGTGAAGGTTTTTCAAATCCATGAATTGTTTTCAAATTCGTCAAGTTATTTCAATCGTTGAACATTATTTAAAATTTATGAACATTTATTAAATTCAGAAAAAATCAAACTTATGATTTTCTTTGAATCCACAAACTATTTTAAAATTTGTGAACTTCTCAAAATTCGTTAATTTTTTAATTGGTAAACTTTTCCCAAAATCTCCGCACGGCGTGTGTTCATTGTCTCAATTCTGTGTAGTTATTTTGTGTTGCGCAGCGTGCATACTAGTATAATTTTGGAGAGTAGGAAACATGAGGAAGAAAATATGTCATCATGTGCATACGCGTATGGAGGGGCCAGAAAATCAATATATAAATAAATAAATAAATAAAATGAATCAAAGAAGAAGAAGAAGAAGAAGAAGAAGAAGAAGAAGAAGCCTGCTAAAGGTGGGTCCGTGGACTTGGAGGGGAAGGTGGTAGCTCCGTGACGAGTACCGCGACCATGAGCATGAAGAAGCTGCAGGCTGCGGCGATGCACACGATCCTCATGATCAAGTCCAACACTGGATCCTGAGGGCCCGGCAGGCGGATGGTCAAGGCCACCATCGACAGCGTCACCAGACCCAGGAGGAAGATGGCCAACCACCGTCCGCAGTCGATTTTGCCGCCGGCCATCTCTCGCTTTGGCTCTGGATCTGGATCCATGACAACGACGACGACGACGACTTTGGGCCGTCCGTTGGGGTGGTCGGCTTTGGCCAGTTGGTCCGTTGGTCGCCGGCCATGTTCCGTGACGATGACTGTGAGCAGGACGATGAAGATGGCGCATGGGGAGAGAACGCAGAGGATCCTGGCGAACAAAAGCAACATGGGTCGTGGCGGTGCGTCAGGGCCCGGCACGCACATGGACACGGCCGCCATCGGCAGGATCAGCAAACCCGCCGCCACAATCCGACTACACCGACCGCAGCCGTCGTCTGGCACTGGCTCCATATCCATGTACTATCTACTACCACTATAAAAGAAAGAGAGGGCCGAGAATTAAATCATCCTATCCATCGAAACCTGCAATCTGATGGTCTACATATTTTCAGATACTAAACGCGTTTTACGCTTTAATTACCCATCATGCCATTATCTACTATCTATCTACTACCATTATAAAAGGAAGAGAGGGGCAGATCCAAACAATCACATCCATCCATCATCAAAATCTAATGGCCCTTAATCATTTTGTGTTTAACGCTATACCAACCACGCAACAAGCCACAATCAATCGCTAACCCACCCTGCCCGTTCGCACGACATGTCGCCCCGCTCGCACGACACCCAGTCGCCCCCTCCTCCTCCATCGTCCCGCCCGCACGACCCCCAGTCGCCCCTTCCTCCTCCTCCCGCGTCGTTCGCCGCCCCGCTCCTCCTCTCACAGCCATTAGCCGCCACAGGTCGCCACCCTTCGCTGCGGGAGCCGTCGGCAAGTCGCCGCCCGTCGCGCCCTTCGCCGTGGGAGAGCCGGAGCCGCCGCCCGTCGCGCGCCGGGGGAGAGACGCCGCAGGTCGCTGCCCTTCGCCGCGAGAGAGCCGGAGCCACGGAGCCGTCGCCCGTCGCGCACCTGCCTCTCCTCCTCTGCTGTCGCAGGTATGCCAACGCCTCCTCCCTCGTCCCGCCCGCACGACCCCAGTCGCCCCCTCCTCCTCCTCCCGCGTCGTTCGCCGTGGGTCATCGCATGGTCCACCGTCGTCGTTCCCATAGCATGCCGCCTGCACTTCCTCTTGGCCGGCGCAATCGTTGGGTCACTGGTTCATCTGTTCGTCCCTGGATTGTCGCCGTTCATCTTTACTCATGTTTCTCTTTGATGATGTCCAGGTGCCGCAGTGACACTGCAGGAGGAAACAGGCGAGTGCTCGGGGACATCGGCAACATCGTCAATGCCCACAAACTCGAGGGGTAAGAAAATCAGCGCAAGGATCGAATCCCAGTCCTGTTTTTCTTTCTTCCGTTCTTTTTCCTGAACTGAACCTGATCTTGTTCGTTGCAATAGCAATATCCAGCTACTGGTGGGGATCACTCCAATCACCAGGAACTTCGGCGCTGAGCTCTGAAGAAGGCCTAGGCCGATCCATCCAAGGTACGGACGCTCTGCTGTTTACACCACCTACTCTCTTGTCTGTTGGAGTTCATGGCCTGTCACTCATGTCCTCACAGTGTAGGCAAGTGATCAATTATCCTGAAATCTTTGCCCTATTGTACAGCCCGTTCAAGCAGTCACAGAAGCCTCTCTATAGATTGCATTAATCCCTAACATTTGATCAAG